GATTGGCATGTTTGCTTTTCATAACGCGGGCTAAACATTACCCATGGTGGGTTGTGGCCGGGTCCCCGATGTTGTTGGTCTCGCAGAGAGCCCCCCCCCACGCTCCGAAACCCCCCCCCCCTCCCCACCCGCATCATTCTGTGTGGCCCTGCCGCAGCGTTGACCCCCACGGGAATACGGGGCCGAGACGGAGAAAGATCAGCCGAGGTGCAGATGGCGAGACCCCGGAGGAATCAGCGATGGCACTAAGAGCAGTCGGTGTGTTTGCGGGCGGTAAAAGTGGTCACGGGAAGAAAATCCAATCGGGGATTGAGTCTCGGTGAGGCCAGTGACACCGATACGGGTAAAGCCCCCCCCCCCCCATCACCAAGACAGACTGCAGGAGTCTCAAAGCCCCCGTGTGTGCAGTGTGGGCTGGTGAGCGCTGGCCACAGCGGCGTTGGGATGCTTGTAACTGCAGGGACATGAGGTTGTGACTGCGCTCTCGGCATCCACGTGGCTTAGCGGTAGAGCAAACGGCCCTCAATGGGAAGGTTGCGAGTTCAAATCTTGGTTGGTGCTTTACCCGACCCCTCGTCTCTTCTTGGTCAATAAAATAGGTGCCGCTTTGTGGGGGGTGGGGGGGGGGGGGTGTGTGAACAGCAGCTTCCCTATGGATAAACTCGCCTGGCTCCAGAAATGTAGAATTTCCACCACCGGCTCAGGGCTGTGAACAGGAGCTGGGCGAAGCCTCAATGCTCATTTGAGTAGAACACAGCTGTGAGTCTTCAGACTGTTTGTATGACAGGGCGAACAATTAGTGGTGAGTCACATCTCAATTGGACCTGCCCCCCTTCCCCTCGCCCCCTCCTCAATACCCAGTGTGCACACCGGCACTGACAAAACGTGGGGCAGTATGGTTAAAAACACGCACACGCGGCCGACATGACATGGGGAGGCTTTAATCTCACTGGTGAATTGAGAATGTCTGTAGATAAAAAAAAAAATGACATTAAAAATAAAAACATATATACAACGGTTAATGATTCTCCATGATGGTGGATTTTGTCATTTTACTGAGATAGCCGGGGCTGTGAAACGCGACACTAATCGCGAGAAGCTGAGTGTCCTGGATACAAGAGACCACTGGCTCGTAAACCTAACGGGAAACACAACCGAGATAAACCCCACCGGTGACCCGCACCATAACTCGGTACCACAGCTTACGTGTTCAGTCTGTGCATGTTATACACCCACCGTGACGTGCGGAGCTAAAACACGTACGTATGTATGTATGTTGAACTTCTTTCGCACCGTACGTAGCCCACCGTGCTAATTGTAGGGGCGGGGGCAAGAACAACAACACTAAACACAAGAAAAGCAGTTGTAAAAAAAATTCGTTTTCAATTTAGATTTAAAACTGCCGAACAAAGTGGAACAAAAAACTGGAAGGTGCACAAATAAGGGTTAGTTCTGGAGTCAGGGTTCAGGTTACGGGTTATATTTAGGACTGATTTAGGGGTTAGGTGTAGGATTAGAGTCAGCGCTTACGATTAAGATTATGTTTAGGACCGGTGTTAGGTTCGGAGATATGTTAGGGCAACGAATGGGCTTTGCTTTTGAGTTAGATTTAACTTTAAAATTACGACTGGGGTTAGGGTTAGAGATAGGATTTGGTTTAAAATTAAGACTAGGGTTAGGTGTAGGGTTAGCGTTTACTTGAGGGTTAGAGTTAGGTTTAATGGTTGGGATTAGGATCGGGGTTACGTTTTTCGTTACGTTTAAATATTGGGGTTAGGGTCGGGTTTGGTACTTGAGCAAAAGTCGGGGCAATGGCTACAGCTGGGCACTCTCTGTCCCTGGCGCTAATTCTGACTCAACTCAGTCCGCACCCTGCGCTAAAGATCGCCACTTCCCAAACGACCACCACCACGACCACCACCACGACCACCACCACCACCACGACCACCACCACCACGACCACCACCACCACGACCACGACCACCACCACCACGACCACCACCACCACGACCACCACCACGACCACGACCACCACCACCACGACCACCACCACGACCACCACCACCACCACAACCCCCACCACCACGACCACCACCACCACCACGACCACTACCACGACCGCCACCACCACCACCACCACGACCACCACGACCACCACGACCACCACCACCACGACCACCACCACGACCACCACCACCACGACCACCACCACCACCACCACCCGCCCTCTCCGCTTCTCCCCTGCACCCCCTCGATCCGCTCCCACCCCCGCTCCTCCAATCCTGTCCGTACAGGGGGTTCCCCTCGCCCCAGCCCCAACTCCGACGCAGCCCCCACCCCACCACCCCCATCTGAGGGGTTGTGTTTTGTGTGAACTACAATCACGGGCTGCGGGATTTTTTTGCCCGGACAATGACGGGGGGATGAGGTGGGAGGCTTCTCTTTTTTTTTACCAGCGACAAAGACAACGTCGGCTCCTTTAATCAGAGCGAGCGCGGGCCCCGTACCCTCTGTGCTGTCGTTTAATCTGCGTCACCCCGCCTGCGTGTGTGTGTGTGGTACTCACCCACGCCACCTCCCTCCATCCATCCATCCCTCCCTCTCTCCCTCCATTCCTCCCTACCTCCGTCCCTCCCTCTCTCCATCTCTCCCTCTCTTTTTTTACGATCACAGGAAACAAGAAGATGCTCGGTGTAGTCGGCACTTTGCTTCGTTCATCATTTCGGTTTTTTTCAATGCTTTGCTTTATGTACCCCCCCCCCCCCCCCCGTTTAAATGAAAGATTTCACGCTCTGCTCTCCTCTCTACCCCCTCTCTTTACCCCCTCTCTCTCTACCCCTCTCACCCCACTCTATGTCTATCACTCCCTCCATCCCTCCCTCTCTCCTTCCCCTCTCTCCCTCCCACCCACCCCCCCTTTCTCTCCGTTGTGCGCTGTGCTAAACTTCTTTATATGTGCACGCTAACCGCACTTGCCCCAGCAGTCCGCTAAGACTGTACGGGGGAGTTTTGTCTTTGTTATGTGTGCGTGGGTCTCTTCGAGGGGGCGGGGGGGGGTAGGAGAAGCGCCGCTGTGCTAGGAACCCTGCGGCCAGAGTTTGATTCATATCATCTGAACTGTACTGCGCCTCCCCTTGTATGTGTACCTCGTGCGATGTATAAACATCCCTACTTGGGAGACAAAGGCGGCCTGAAGTGGTACTGGCCATCCACCCCTTTCGAGTGACGTGCAGGCCTTAATAGGTGCTCGCTAACAGCACTTGCCCTAACAGCCTGTGAGATGCTATACGGGGGACATTTGTCTTTGCACTCGTATGAATGAGTGACCCTTGTGTGGGTGCGCTGAATGGAGTAGCCGGGTCACACTTTGCGGTCGAGGAGGAGGTCTTGACATTCTTGTGCCGGGGGTCTCGACCCAATTCCCACACAGCCCCCCCCTCCTCCTCCTCCTTCTCCGAATCCAACTTCAAAACCCTCCCGCCTCCTTCACCTGCCCCACCCCACCCCCCACCTGTCCACCATCTCAAGCAACCCCCAACTACCTCCTACATCACCACCACCACTACCACCACGCCAGCTTCGTCTCCCTGCCGGCTTTGCGGACACGTGGGAAACTCCGTAAAGACCCAGGGAGAAAGGGGTTGCTTGGATTCGATGACAGGCCAGCCTTCGTGTGAGGTTACACGACAGACGTTTGTTGGATGTCACGGCGGTAAGTGGGTTATATCGCGTAAATATATAAATGTGTCGTTAAAACCCGACAGTCAATTAGTAAGGTGTGTCACATAAACAGAACGTGGCCAATTCGTCACTAGTACAGCACACCGGTGTGCTGGAGAGCCAAGTCACACCATTTACAATCTGAGTACGACGTTTCGCCAGTAATAACAACTAGCTTCATCAGGCGACAGCCAGATTTGTGCAGAAGTCCACCCGTTTCGTTCCTCATATAGAGGCGTAGATGTGGTGACCACGCATCTGCGCTGTTCTCGCCACCACCCGACACAGCCAATTAATAAGGTTTGTCACGTAGACTAAAAGTGCGAATTAAGTTACTAATTCAGCACACAGGTGTGTTGGAGAGGAAACCCGCAACGTTTACAATTCGAGTACGACGTTTCGCTGTGGATTACAATCACCTTCATCAGGCATGGCTATCATGGTCTCTTAAGTTCTCACCTGGTTAAACAAGATACACTTGAAACTTGAAACCCGGAGCGAGACACTTGGCAATGCTCACCTCTGCCGTGCACACGACCACAACAGCCAAGAGGCTTTCACGCGGTGTCACCGAGTTTCCGTGGGACGGCCAAATCGAGTCAACAAGGGTCGAAATATGCGTGGAGTGTGTGTGTGTGTGGCTGTGATCGTGTGCGTACGTGCTATGGGGAGTGGTAGCGTAGCGGTTAGCGCGCTGACATCCGATTATCGGAACCGGTCCTGGGCCTCCCCTAGGTCGACTCAGCCTCAATTGAGGACCTCGTGCGGTGTGCAAACATCGCCGCTAGGGAGACAAAGGCGGCCGGGGTTGGTCCTGTCCACCCACCCCACTCGTGTGCCGTTCTCGCCTTCATAGGTGCTTGCTAACAGCGCTTGCTCCAACAGTTTAAGCCTATACGGGGGATCTTTGTCTTTGGGTCGGCTCAATGTGGAGTGGTGGTGTCGCGGTTAGCGCTACGCTGCCCTACGAACCCGGCAAACCAAGTTATATTCCCGGCTCACGACCAACATCAATGACGATTAATCTGAACCGGTGCTAGGCCTCTCCTAGGTCGACTCAGCCTCAAATGAGTACTCGTTGCGATGTGTAAACATCAGCAACGGGGGAGACAAAGGCGGCCGGGCGTGGTCCTGGCCACCCACCTCCTCGTGTGCTGTGCCGGCCTGCATCGGTGATACTCGCGAACGGCACTTGCCCCAACAGCCTATTAAGGCTATACGGGGGACATTTGTATTTGTGTGTCCGAGTGTGCTGTTTTGTGTTGCAGGCGCTCACTCACCGTCTCGAAGTATTCCTTCCACCGCTGCTGAAGCACGTGCGTGTACACACGTGGAACACACACCCACATACAGAGAGAGAGACACACACACAGGTCATCGTGCACAAAGGGCACATGCACAACACAGAGAGATACACAGACACACGCACATTCACGAACACGTGCACACCGTCATGTATGCACAAACATGTGCACGTGTACAATGACTTACACAGACACACGGAGAGATGCAGACGCGCGCACAAAAACAGATACACACGCACATCGCGAAAGAACATACACAAAGCACACGCACACAACCACACATTCGCAGACACGCATAAACGCACACACAGATGTCACATACACACATACCCACACACGAACACATAGGCACATGTATACACAAACAGTGAGACCCACATAAACACGCATACACACAGATACGCATAAACACACACGAACACATAGGGACATATATACAGTGAGACCCACATAAACACACATACACAGAGAGACACACACAGAAACACACCACAGACACACATAGTGACACCCACATAAACACATACACACAGAGAGACACACACACACAGAGACACACACTGATACAGATACACATAAACACACACAGATACCCACACACGTACACATAGCCACATATATACACAATGAGACCCACATAAACACACACACACACAGACACACACAAAAAGACACACCACAGACACACATAGTGAGACCCACATAACACACACATACACACACGGAGAGACACACAGGCACACGAACACATTAGCGGCGAATCAAAGGAGCTCCTCCATGAACACAACAAGAAAAATAAACGTGACAGCAACAAGGGGCCCGGATCCACGACACCAACAGCAACCACAGCAGCTGGACAGGTGGAGCCCCACTCCAACAGGTGCCTGTCCCCCCCCCCCCCACTGCCCCCTATATGCAGGCAATGCGCATATCTTCTCAACTCCTACGAGACGCTACGGGTCTCAACTGATAACAGTGAGCGGAATTCCACGCGCGCGACGCGTTTCCGATAAGGGACAGGTAACGAAATATAACAGCCCCTTTGTCGACCCACTACTGCAGATGAAGGCGTCCTCCACTCGCCGTGTCAATGGCGGGAGCGGTGGAGTGGGGTTGGACTGAATTTCAGCACGCTGGTCAGGGCATCTGGATATCTGTGAGAGAAAAAAAGAGCTTTATAGCTCATCGGATTCCTCCAGTATGAATACAGATTCTGATTCTGACCTTGTCAGAGAGGGCGCGGGCAACCCTTGTACTAATTTGGCCTCTTTTCTGTAGGGGCCAATTCCCCAAATGGCAACGTAAGTGTATACTCAAGTTTCGTTCACATTGGGGGTCATCTTCACGAGACTTATCGTAAACGCCACGTTGCAGACAGACGACGGGCGGACGGGCAGCGGTGACCCATCGACGCCTGTCAATAAAACTAAAGAGGGAGCAGCGTGAGAGAGCGGCGCGACAAAGGGACTCACGTCCTCCACGGATATTGGGAGCTGGGCCTCCTCCACCGTCACCGCCTCCAATCGTGTCCCTCCCAGATCTTCCTCCTCCTCTTTCTCCTCCCGTGCATTCTCCTTCTCCGGATCCCCGAGGAGGCTGGTCTCTATCTCGGCCATGCGTGCGACGTAAACCGGCAGCCAAACGGGGACCCCCTCTTCGATCGTCGCACTCGGAGTGAGATTTCATTCACACGCGCCGCGCTCTGTGTGCCACTGCAGTACCTCGCCTTCTCCCAGACCCCATCGTCTCCTCCTCCTCCTCTCGGCCACTCGGCAGCTCCACCAGAGCAGTGTCCTTGAGCGTGCTCACACACCTGGGCCAGCGACGCGCACAGCTGCCCAGGGACGAGTACTCCGCCGCTTCGTCCTCTTACAATCGGCTCAAGCAGAACGGCTCTCGCGTGGAGATGATTGTCACAGAAGACACCCACGCCTGTACCGAGGACGCTTACGTCTGCCCAGCAACGCGCGCCTATGCAGGAGAGCGCACACCTAGTCGGTGACACGCACGCCTCGTCCGGCTCGGCCACTTTAACGACATCAGAATGGTGGACTACACACTCGTCCAAGAACGCTGGCCCTTCTGCTTACAGGCTCACACCTGTCTCTGTGCACACACCTGTCCAGGAACACTCTCACCCGTCCACGCACCGGGCACATGCAGCTGTGGCTCTCAGGCGCTCTGCCCGCTCCGCACGCTCGAGTCGCGGAGCTGACGAATCTCGCGTGCCCCCCCCCCCCACCGCACGTGTGCGACACGCGGTGTCCTTTCACCCTCGCGGGACACCCTGGCCGCGAAGATTGTCCACCCAGCGCAACCCTGGCACGCTCCACCGCCAGCTCCGCGAGCCACCGAAGATGAAAATGAAGACGACGCTGCTGCTGCTGCTGCCTCTGCTGCCGCTGTTGCATGCGTAGATGAAGTGCGCGCGTCTTTGTGGCGCAGCGCGCGTGTGCGCGTGGGTGGGCCTCTCCTCCATCTCTTAGGAGAGACGCAACTCCCCTCCCACTCCCAACCCCCCACGCTGCAACCTCGCTCCCTCTCTCAGCCCGCGTGCCATAGCCCCCCCCCCCACCACCACACCATCTTATATGCAGGGTGCGACCACCCACTCCAAGCAATTACCTATTAGATTGTCAGTGCATCACGACATTATTGCACCGCCTATAATAGCGGACGTGACATTGTTCGTTTAACTCTCCCCAGTTGTAATTCAATTGTGATCTCATCCTCGCGTAAATGAGATGAGGTGTAAGCTCTGACGCTCGCCGAGCAAGGCACCCCCCCCCCCCCACCGCGTGGAAGGAGATATGACAGAACTACTTTTGAGATTCCTTTCAAGTGACACCTCAGCCAGACACTCGGAAGCGCCGTGACCTCTCATCGCGCGTCCTGAAACAGTCATTTTCAAAACGGGCTGGGGCCATCAATGCGCTACAACTGGGACTCCTCCTCCACTCTAAATGTCTGATCCTGCCACTCGAGAACCCGGAACGATTACAGGCGGCCGAGACCCGAATTGAACCCCAGATATAGTGCCGGATTATCCTGTAGCAAAAGTAGCTACATGTGTAGTAGCTACATGTGTAGTGGCTACTACATATGTATATATGTAGTAGCTACGAGTCCCACACTTTCAAGGGCCCCGCGCTAAATGCTTTCAAGCTATCAATTCCGGTTCAGTGATTCTGCACTTGCTCTATTACTGTAGTACCATACTGCCTTCAACTTTTACGAACGACCGGGTGTTTAAGGTTAGCGATTTGTCGTATTATCTGGCTGTATAGCAAATGAAAAAATACAATGACTTTACTATGCGAGTTAAAAATGTGTTTAAATATTTACGTGTTTTATTTATTTATTTAGGGCCCCTTTGTAACATATGCTACAGGTCCCGCACTAGCTTCATCCGGCACTTCCCAGATACTGTATCTGCCTTACCGCAACATCTCAATGCGCTGACCTCTGAGCTACCTTACAAATGTAATCAATCTCGTTCCGCAGCATGGCCATTAAAATACTCGCTCTATTGCATACCCTGCAATGGCAATAATGCTAACATTGCTCTCACGATGCATCCAGAACAATATTCATTATCATCAAGACTCTCTTCTTTGGTTCTTTCGGTAAAGTCACGTAGAATGATAATAAAAAAATATTATTTTATTCTTTAATTATTATTTTATTCTCATTCTACGTGACTTTACCGAAAGAACCAAAGAAGATGAATCCTTGCAGTCACGAAAGCTTTAAATCGAAATCAAGACTCTTGTTTAGGATTGGCCCTGCCGTGAGAAGTTTGGCCAATATTTAGTCTTCATAACGAGCGCTTCTGCTTCGTCTGGGTGGGAAGCAAAGTACCCGGGGAAAACCAACCACCACGTAAAAGGATCATTCCAAAAAGCCGGCATAAGTGCGCTCGCGAACCCCTTGCTGTGCTGCCACCCCACGGTCACCCCCCCCCACCTCATCCCGGGGGGGGGGGGGGGCTTGGTTTGCATGTTTGAATTTCTAAAATCCTTGCGTGATCCACCAACCCCTTGCACTCCACGCCCGCCGGATCGCTGGCGTGGGCCAACCACGCACACCTTAGCATTGTATGAGCAATGTTCACACGCGGGACTGTGCAACAAAAGATGATCCGAGAGGGCATCACAGCGTGGTGGGACGCTACGCCGCCTGGCGGTGGAGGGAAGAATCGCAGCGTTGCGTTCCATCACCCTCGCTCAGCGTTCTGCAACGCAAGGCCCGCGGGCGACTTGTCGACCCCTTGGTAGCCTTTAGTGTGCCTCATCCCTCGACAATACACAAGGAGTGAACACCCCCCCCCCCCCCGTCATCATCATCATCATGGTTTCAAATGTGTGGCGGCACCGCGCACACAACTGATTGACGTCTTATCGGCGAAATGTGGGGACAACCCCCCCCCGCCGCCCCGCCTCTGAACATGAGCGAAAAAACACCGCGCCCCTTGGCTCGAGCGGTGTCGCCCCATAGTGGAGGCGCTCGGGAGGGATGCGGGGCTCGCCGAATCGCGAGGCCAACGCGACGTGAACCGCGCATTCGGCATCCACGGCCCAATGTCTCTCCCCCTCTCTCTCTCGCTCTCTGGGAGCGCGCACGTTCGACGGACGGACGGACGCACGCGCGGGCACGTGGCTCTGCCAGCAGGCTTGCGATGTTGGCGCTCGACGGGGCCGGGAGAGACCCATGACGCCGAGCGCAACGAGCTGCAGCGCTGCGTGAAGACGCGTTCGCCCCCTTTGCTGGCAACGTTTCGTGTCGAGACGTTCAAACGCCAAACGGATTCCGCCACTTTCGCAAGGAATCGTGTGACTGCGTTAACCACCACACGCAGCACCTGTGGTGAACATGCAAACCAAACATCCATAAGGGTTGGTTTTTTTTTGGGGGGGGGGGGGTTAGATCGCGTAAATGTGTCGTTAAACCCGCGCCACCACCCGACAAAGCCAACGAGTGAGGGTTGTCACGTGAACAGAACGTGCCAATTCGCCACGAGTACAGCACACCGGTGTGTTGGATGATATTGGTCGCGAAAGCCTACGTGTTAAACAAAACATGCTCTGATATGTGCATCGTCTTTGAAGCCGATTGGCCGAGACCAGAGACGGCCTACACCAGAGACGGCCTTCACCAGAGACGGCCTACACCAGAGACGGCCTTCACCAGAGACGGCCTACACCAGAGACGGCCTTCACCAGAGACGGCCTTCACCAGAGACGGCCTACACCAGAGACGGCCTTCACCAGAGACGGCCGACACCAGAGACGGCCGAGACCAGAGACGGCCTACACCAGAGACGGCCGAGACCAGAGACGGCCGACACCAGAGACGGCCGAGACCAGAGACGGCCTTCTTTATGGCCGAGTCTCACCAGTGTCATAGAACAACGCCAAAATGCGAACAGTACAAAGCCGATGCACCTAGCAGAGCACGTGTAGCAGTGCCGTACCCTGTCAGGAGATCTTTACCGACTACCGTGAAGCAGACGGCGCGTAGTAGTCCTAGTTAGCTTCAGGGTGCACCGGTTAATACACAGCGCAGTATTAACCAGGACGGCCCTTGGGGCGCGAACCGCGACCCTCTCTCTCTCTCGGCAACGAGCTGCGAAGGCGCTGTCGCTGGGCCACGTGGTCGCTCCGAAACGCGCGCCCCTCTGAGCGCTCACCTGCCACGCTCACCTGCCACGCTTCTCAAACAAGTTCGTCTGCTCACCTGTGCGGCTGCTCACTGCAATCAATTTTGCCCGAACCCAAGCGCTCACCTGTTCACGCGCTCGCGTGACTGCACTCTCGGCTACCAGCTTACCTGTCAAGCCTCTCATGTTAGCCCGCTCACCCGTTAGCCTGCGTGCAGACTCTCCCCCGCATGCCCTCTCGCGAAATAACTCTCTCACACGTCAGTCGGCTTACCCATCCATATTATGGCCAATTAGCCCACTCCATTGTTTAACCTCTCACCTGTCACTGTTCATACCACCCACCTGTCAAGCCACTCACCGATGTCCCAACTCACCGATGTCCCTACACACAAGTCCGCACTGTCAACCTGTCCTCATCCCATCACCCCCGGCTAAACTCGCCAGCCCTCACCTGTCCGTCATCTCACCTGTCGCATGGTCGTCGTCACTACCGCCGCGAGGTTAAACGTAGAACGAGCAGCCTCAACCACGTGCCCGATATTGATCAGAGATCAGCGAGACGAAACACTCACCACTCCCCCCCAAGCATCGCTCCACAAGCACTCCTCTCCCACCCACAATCATAACAGGGAGATGGACGGAGACACGAACGCGATTGATGACGGATGAATACGAGACCAGCGATAAACGCGCTGCTGGAGGCGATGGGATGACGACCGATAACACCATGACAACCCAGGACTTGTTTTCAATATTAATAGATTCCCCCCCCCCCCCGCTCCCTCACCCGCTCCATGGACCCGTGCCCATTTCCCGAGCTCAGCCCTGTACAGCTCCGTCCGAAATAAAGCCTCGATGACAAACCTAGCCCCGGCGTCATCTTTTTACCCCCATCACGAGACGTTTTCGTTTCCAGTTTATTGGAGGGTTTCGTTTGAAATCGCGAGAATCGTCCATATGAAAGTAGTCCGCACGTCACAATGCCGTCGCATGGGGCCTCGTCATGTTCACAACCTTGTTACCGGCGAAAGGAAGTCCCATGAAAGGCTGCGTAATAAGTTAATACAATAAACACTTTGATTACAAAATACAGGCACGGCATTTTTTTTTCTTTATCATGAAACACATTTAATCATGCAGTGGGCGCTGCCGGTTCGTTGGGTCCAGGGTTGAGGAGGCTACAAAACTCCACCTCGTGGCTTCCACTCTCAAGTTGATAACACCACGGCGCGCGTGGATTCATTGACAAGTGACACGCAAAAGGCAACGTTCGGTGGCGATGCTGATGATGCCCCAAGTGTCGGGCTCCGCCAGACCGGGTTCCCTGTAGGAAGCTGCGTGCACCGGTCTGTGGCTCTCCGTGTTCAACGATGGAGCCGATGGGTGGTACATGTGCCAGTCTATGGCTCTAAAATAGTGCGAGTTTTGATCTCTGTGGGTCCGTGTGCGACTCTAGCGGGGAGCGGTAGTGCAGTGGCGAGCACGTCGTGTTTCAAACCCGGCGACCGGGATCGATTTCCCGCTCGTGGCCAACAATGGAGATTATCCGAACCGGTCCTTGGCATCCCCTAGGCCAGTGGTTCTTAACCTGGGGTGCGAGATGCCCTTTCTGGGGGTGCGAGACATGTCCAGATTTTGTTAGAAGGTAAATCGTCGAAACGCAAATTAAGCACGGGCACGTAAGAACTACTTTGTTTCATCAAACCCCTATGTATTAATATTATATTTTTATTTTTTTACGATTGAGAACCAAAGGGGTGCAAGGCTACAGTAAAGGTTAAGAACCACTGCCCTAGGCCGTCTTAAATTAGTACCTGGTGCAGTGTGTAAACATCACCACTAGGGAGACAAAGGCGGCCGAGAATCACGCTGGCCACCCACCACCTCGTGTGCTGTGACAGCCTTCACAGGTTCTTGCTAACAGGACTCGTCACAACAGTGTGTTAAGGCTATCGGGGTGGGATCTGTGCGCCTCTATGGGTCTCGATTTCAGCTGCCCACCCCTCCACGCACGAGCCAGCCTGGCTGGAACACTGGGGGCGGCCTTTGCATTCACTTTAAAACCTGGAGTGACAAACCACCGCAGTGAAAACCTACGGCAGAGGAAGATGGCTTTAGGAAGAGTGACGCACGGGTCCCGCCCCCCCCCCCCCTCACTTTACACGGTAAATGCGTCCCAAAAAAACAAAGGGTGTGTACAAAGCAAAACCACACTGCCATTCGCCGTGCAGCGCATGCACTGCGCACGCACAATATTGTCCCACGTCCGACCACACCGCTCCGTGTACAGTGATTTCCAACCGCGTAGTACAGCACATTTTTTGGTAGGAGTAGGTTCGCCGCAGCCAAGCGACATCGCACAAAAACGAAACCCGCATGCGGCGGCGAGGGAAATCTGTACGGCGGCGCCGCAAGTTGCAGGAAGAGGAAAGGGAGCGTAGGATTTTCTTCGAAGCTCTGGTTTGAAATAAGTCATCCCGGCCCCACCACCGACCCACCAACCCTAAAGACCATTAACATGTTTACCGTACTGCATAACGACCAAAAACAAAAAAACAAATCCCCCAAAATTCCCACACACCATAAACACTTTCTTCATTCCAGCGGTCGACATTCAGGACTCAGAAAGCACAGTTTGTGTTCAGTGAATGGCGTCCAGGGCTTTACATCTCTCATATGAATTATTTTCCCGGGTCACTAGTAGACTTGAGTCGGTGGCACGTGACCAGTAGTACCCGCACTGCCATAGCGAGAGGAATAACTGGATGTGGTGTGCCGGTTTGCAGAAAATATTTTACAAGTTGCTGGAAGACTTGAGCAGGTGGGGTATGGATGTCACGTGCATAGCCGCAGCCACAGCGTAAAGTATACTGGGTGTGGTGTGCCGGGCATAAATTAATTTCTCCCACAGCGTCCATGCCTCGTTGGGTGAACCCTGGCCACTCTGGCACGAACATTTTATAAATCACAGCTCCTTTCTCTTGTTTCAACTATTAAAAAAACTTAACAAAAGCCTTCGATTAAAAATATATCAACACGGTTTGTGAATGTGTTTTAAAATAATTATTTCGTAAAAAAAATCATGGATTGAAATGACCGACTACCGTCCACGTCGTCCAATCTCGTCTCCGCCGTCGTGTTTTGTGTTTCGGTCGCCGGTACGTTCCAACAAAGAAAAAAAAAGAAACCCCACTTGCAGGATCGAGACGCAAAGTGGGGTCCGGGAGTTTTTCCATCTTCTCCGTGAAGTTCCGCTCACTCGCTTGCGTCCACATCCCCGCTTCACGATGTCCATCCCGGGCGATTAAAACCACGGTTTAATAAAAACAAAAAACAAAACCCCATCAAGTCCACCGTAGCCGCACGAAGCTTCGTGATGAACAGCGAGGGCGCCAGAAGATGGTGGTGGTACCGGTGAAGCCGTCACCTCATGGCACCACAGGAAGCTGTCCACCAGTCCTGCAGAAGTGAAGAACACAGCAGCAATGAACACAAGCGTAAGTAGAGCTGACCTTCTCTCCTATTACCACGTAACGTGGCAATTTGCATGGCGTCCGAATGCAACCGCCATCTCAAGCAGTGGTTACAGGCTACGTACGATGCGAAAGAAGTTCAATATACATACATACATATAAAACACACGTGGTGACGCATTGATACCTACGAAGCCACGGGGGGCGGGATCTCTGTATAATCCTGACACGAATAGTAGAGGGAGGAGTGTCCCTTTGTGAAGTTGTTGCAGTCTCTCACACAGTGTTGCCTTGAGGGAGGTAGTGCGATTGGTGTTCAACACCACCACCATCACCACTGTCATTATCGTCATAGATCTCCCAAATGTTTTATCCCAGCCTGGAAGAACTCTGTCTGTTAATGGAACATTTTGCTCACTTGTCTAGGACCTCTCCTCCTATGTCAGGACACAGACATTCCCCATCACCCCTCATGTGCGTGCGCACGCGCATGCTCTATAGCAAAGCTGCATGCACCGAGATGCAAGGAATTGACAAAGCCATCCCAAGTTCCACCGCAGTAAACTTAATGCAAACAAAATGCAGAGTTTACCAAACTCAAACCCTGGTCCCCCTTCAGGTCTGCTCCCTGGCGTCAAGCCTTTCAGGCCCACCCATCTTTATTAGTTGCATACAAAACGAATAAAGACCCAAAGAATAGTTTTATACAATTGCCTCCATAGATAAGGTGATTTGAGAGCACACTACGCACCGGGGAGATGCATATATATATACAGCACACCTAGTGGAGGCCCAGGACCGGGTCAGATAATCGTCACTGCTGTTGGCTGCGTGCAGGAATCTAACTCGAGTTGCCACGTTGGTAGCACAGCAGCATGCTAACCGCTACACTACCGCTACCACTACAACAATCACCAACACCCAACTTCACCACCACTGTAGCGACCATGAACAGCAGCACCACCACAAGCCGCAACCGTGAGAGAGGAGCAACGGGGATCGACCACTACTGACCTGTCCTTGCTACTTCATCGCCTCGTACAGCACCTACGGTGTAAGCGGGAGGGGGGGGGGGTTGAGGGTCCAAGCACAACACCTCGGTGAGATTCATCGTGACCCGCCACGGTGACCAATTTTTATAGAGGCGACTGCACTGGAGAGGCGGGAGACATCGCGACACGATCGCCCGCGACGCTGAATAAACGGTTCCGAGCACGCACCGCCTGCACCCAACTCCATACCAGCCTATGTGGTCAGCTACGGCTGATCTATATTTAATCACATTATTCATGTCCAGGATCGCATCGGATCATTAAAGACCTTTTAGAAACTTTTGTTACGACAACAAAATTGGACAGATTTTGCTCGCTTGACAACGTTTCCCCACCTGCTCCAGTTTTGCAAAAAAATCCAATCAATGACCACATTTGCCCATGACGTGCCAGGTGGTGGAGAGCTTAAACATTTTTTGAGACAATACGATCCAACCTAAATTCAACTAATTACGATTCATAACACTGACGACCTGAAAGCAGACGTTTAAAATCATCTGTACGACGCAGCACAACGAACGCCACCGACCTCTTCCAGGTCTCTCGACTCCCTCGCGTTCGACCCCAAGACGACCTCGCTGCCGTGACCCCAGGCTGCGTCGATGGAGACCCCCTCGGGGGGGTCGGGGACCTCCCCCGCGCCCGGGGAGGTGGGGGCCCCGCTCGCGGCCTCGGCGTCCGTGGTGGCGCAGAGCGTCCCGCTGCTGCCGTCCGTTTCCACGCAGGTCGGCGCTGGCGAACACACGCAGAGGGCGAGCGTCAACTCTCCGTCCGCCAATTTCACGTTCGCAAAGAAGCTCCCGGCGCACATTGGGGCAAAACGTCGGATGTCTCGCGCCGGGCAACGGGCGGCAACAAACCCGGAAAGCACGATCGGAGTAGAGAGCCGTACGGCGCAACCGTGGAAAACCTTGCACGGCGAAATCGTTGATTCTCACCACCCTCGAAATGTTAAAGGCTCATCACGGTTTGGGGAAGTCATAGTTAGGTGCGAGGAACTTTCTTTTGCCACTGTGTTGTTGTGAAGATGAATCTACCCTACCCAGAAACTGTAGGGGGGGGGGGGGGGGCGGTGGTTCGCATGAGCCAACCTCGTACGACACGCCTCCATTTTATAGATTCTCAGCAAAGAATATTCAATAACAGCATAAAAATCACTTCTCACACAGAATTGTACGCATTTATCAGAAGTGCACAAATCAATATTAACTGACGAATCTATGCACAATCACACATCCAATAAAGAGTCACCCCGACCCTGAGAGATGGACACAGGCAGTAATACTGTCCATCCTTCCATCACCTGTTTACACGTCTGCCCATCTCCCCAATATGTCCACCTGTCCCACCCGCACAGGCAGTGCCCCACCCCCCGTCCGTGCCGCGCCGCCACGTACCTGCGCTGCCGGAGCGAGGTGCCGCGTGAATCTGTCCGTGCGTCTCCTCCTCAGCCGCGCGTCTCGGCTCCCCGGGCGCCTCCAGGAGGCTGTCCGGCCGCTCCCACGCGGCGTCTGAAGAGAGAGAGAGAGAGAGCGCGGCCAGCGCCGGTCCACGGAACGTGGTCACGTGACGCACACGGGGGGGGATCTCCGCACACAGAGTACCCACGGAACGTATGCGCGGCGGACACGGAACAAGGTGACGCGTGCCGACGAACGTAACGGTTGGAACGCGTGTGGTTTTTGTTCGTTTATTGCTGTTTGGGGGGGTGGGGGGGGGTGGGCAGCTTTTCTGGTGAGGAGGGGAAAGAGGGCGGTACCTTTTGCTCCCCGACTGCCGAGAGTCAGCCCCTCGGAGCCCTGCTGCTCCGCCATGTCAGAGAGTCCCGAGTCCAGGCTGTCTCTCTTAGTCTGAGAGTCACCTGTGTGTGTGTGGGGGAGAGAGGTGAGCGAGGTGAGCGAGGTGAACGAGGTGCAAGTGTGTGTGTGTGTGAGTGTAAGAGTGCGAGTAAGCATGAGCAAGTGGGGTGTGCGAGTGTGTAAGAGGGAGATTGAGAGGTGGGGGGGAAGCTTGCGAGTCGGTGAGTACGAGTTTCAGTGAGAGAGTGCAGAAGATTGTGAGCGAGTCTAAGTGTGGTGAGCATAAGGGAGTGTGCATGCGTATTTTTAAACCAAAATGAGGTAAATGACAATTATGACATTGACATCGTCATGACGGTGAAACATTCCTGTGAAGAATGTCGATGGTCATCATAATTTAGATACTATTTAACGATGACGACGATATTAGTAACGATGCAATGATGACGGTGATAACGATGCTGATCGATGGTCCTCATCTGCGATAGAGCTGCTGCTGACAATGACGATCATAACCTACATTGAAGCAATCATAACGACTGCTACAATGTCAATAATTATTAGAGGCGTGTCAACGGTGATGTTGACGATAAAGTCAATTGTGATGACGAAGAACATTTTGACGACAGCGAGGATGATGATGATGATGCTGATGGTGATCATGATGATGGTCACATTGTTACTGTTTATGATGACCATGATGATGACAGTTGCACGAATGGTGATCTCATAAAACGATGCCGAGGAATAACAGCGCTGACGATGACGATGTTGTTGCTGTTGCCGCTTCATCGTTCACGGCCACGAGATGCCCATGTCAACAGCGGGGTTAGCGCCGATGACGACGTCGCCAACAGACAATCTCAACGATGGCGACGACGATCGCGATGACGCGCAAAACGGCTGACGGCGACACCTACTGTCGGACGAGGCGGTGGAGGAGGAGGAGGCGCCGCTGCAGCGGTACCCGGGCTTGATGAAGGACAGCACGTCGGCCAGGCTCTGCGTGACCGTCACACCGACGCGCGAACCGCGCGAGCGACACCGGCCGCCCGACGGCGACGACGACGACTTCGTTCCCGACAAACGCGCGTCGCCACGTCGAGCGCCGCCGGGGGTGACGGCCGTGACGGTGGCGGATCTGACCAGGCCCGCCGAGCCGCGCCCTCCGCCGTCTCCGGACTCGATGCCCGAGGATCGGCAGGAGCCTCCGGCCGTGCGCTCCGAGAGGCTCCTCTCCAGGCCGCGCTCCTCCTCCTCCTCCCGCAGCCTCGTGGCCTTCTCCAGCAGCTCTGGGATGTCGTGCCTGGGGGGGGCGGCAGGCGAGAGCCACGCGTCCGTTTGATCCTCGGTCCGTACAGGCGGCGCTCCTACCCCTCCTGCTTAGGGCCCGCTGTGACATAGAGCTTTATGGCTCATCGGATTCGTCCAGTACGAATCCAATATTCGGATTCCGATTCAGTTTGCCCGGTCGCCTTCCTCCACCTCTCACTCCAGCGGCAACTGGTCAAGTCCCCGTCTATTCCAGCTCATCCCCGCTCTTCCCCGTGTTCCTGCAATCTCCGTTTGTAAAACACTCCATTTGCAACGATTCCCCCCCCCCTCATTGCGCACCACAAGACCATAACGTCTCGGTCTCGCTTTGGTCGATGATACTTCGTACCACTGGGTCCCCCTCTCCCCCACGCCCCACCGATGCCCTCCTCTATTTTTCATTTCTCCGTATTCCGCTCACTCGTTCGTACAGGCGACGGGTGAAACGATACAGCAGGGAGGGTGCCATGTTTGGGTCTGGAATGAGCCCTGGCCGCTATGCACCTCCGATTAGCGCGGTTAGCTACGTACGGTGCGAAATAAGTTCGACATCCAGTAAAATTCTGGCTAAAATCGCCCGATGAAGCCGGTTGCAATTACCAATTTGGTTCTCAAATTGTAAATATTTTGTATTTGCTCGCCAACACATCGGTGGGTGCCGAAGTAGTAACGAATCGGGCACGTTTTGTTTGCTTACGCAATCTAACCCTCCCAAAAAAACCCGTCATCACGAATACGCACACACGCGCCGCCGCTACGCACCGCCGCTGCGCACCGCCGCTACGCACCGCCGCTAAGCACCGCCGCTAAGCACCGCCGCGTACGTACCAGGCGCACGCCGACACGCTGCGGCCGGGCCCCGGCAGCTGCATGCATTTCCACAGGAACTGGATCCAGACGGAGCGCTGCTCGCCCGACGCGGCGGCCTGCGCGCAACGGCACACGGAGAGACGCCGTCGTCATCGTTTTCGTAAACACACCTCGCGGTAATCGTTGCCATCGAACGCACACACACACACAAGGTGATGATGTAATGCGATGGGGGTGACGCGGTGACGGTACGAGGATGGCGCAATGGTGATGACACGTGTGATCCTAATAATGGTACGGCGATGATAACAGGTATGATGATGATGATGATGACAGGTTTAACGATGACGATGATAGGTGTGATGTCGTGATGACATCTGTGATGTAGATGATGACACAGTCGGAGGTGGTAGGTGTCTCTCTCGTACCAAGATGATGACCTTGCCAGAGCTGAGCACCACCTGGAACACGTGCTCGCGGTTCACCGTGTTGAGTTCCCGCACCGACTGCACCTGCACGGCACGGAACCAGCGTCCGGATCAGAACCAAGCTCCCAGAGCACGGTCCCTTGGCATGGGTCCAATTTCCAAGCAGCTTAACCTTGCCTCGCCACTCATGGTGGCCACGAATCGGGTAATCGTTTTTTTTCAGAATAGATCTCCGACTGACGAAAGTCAGGAATCGGCAATAAAATCCGGTGGAATTACACAGCGACAATATGAATGCACCGATTCGGCACACGCGACAAGCGTGCCAAACCACACGGCGGCAGGCCCAAGGTCACCGGGTGGTTCTTTTGCCCTCGTTCAGTTAAAAGGTCAAATAGGTACGGCCCTGAAGTTGCTCGCTCACGCATACTACTGGCGGACGTGCCTCCACGATAGCGAGCCCGTCAGGCGTGACGGAAGAGGCGGGAGAGTACCCACACCTCACCCCACCACATGCGGCATCCCCCATCCACTGGCTGTGGCTGTACCCATTTACACCGCTGCCGGGCGGAAGGGGCTGGGGGGGGGGTAGGGAAGGGGACAGAAGGCGCCGTGCGCAGGGCTTCGCCTGCCGCGCCGGGAGATTGAACCGGTTGGCGGCCGTTGGCCTGCAAGGCCGGTGTGGTGACGTTGACGCAAGCACCATGGCCGGCACCACCTCTATGGTGCAAGCGTGCGAACGCACGAACGCACGAAGGGCTCCCCGTCCCACGCAGACGCGAGCTCTCACGCACACACCACTTACCGAATGGACGTCCACTCTCCCTCGGGGCTGAAGTGAGGTGAGAGAGGGTGGGGGGGGTGCGGTTGGAAAAATGGGCAGGGGTGGCAGAACGAGGAGATTAATTGCCGGAGTAATAAATCACATCGTCGTCGTCACCACCAGGCACGTTAACAGGGGGACGTGAGCTGAATCGCGTTGGCTCAATGAGCGACCGCACCCCCCTCGAGCGGAGCCTGCAGAGGCAATGCCTGCAAAATCTGCAGTGCCCCACCGGTACTGGGACACTGCAGCAGTGAGCGCCAGGGGCAAGGGAGGGGGGCCAGCGACCAACATTACTCCTCACTTTTGACCTGAACTGTAATCGCCGAGCCAAGCGGCCACTGGTAGCGGTCACAAAAAAAAAAGGTAGCCCGTGATGCAGCCGCTCACCGCGAGTTACAAATGCTCCGAAACGTGTGGCATTTAATTTTGATTTAAAGCTTTCGTGACTGCAGTAATTCATATTCTTAGTTCTTTCGGTAAAGTCACGTTGAAGGGAAACAACAAAATAATAAAATATATATAAAACAATAAAATTGTTTTATATATAATAAATATATATAAAACAATACAAAATTGTTTTATATATAATAAAATATATATAAAACAATAAAATTGTTTTATATATATTTTATTATTTTGTTCTTTCCCTTCAACGTGACTTTACCGAAAGAACTAAGAATACGTGTGGCATTGCCCTTGTACTGCCCGCATTTTGGCGTTGTTCTCTGGTCTGACACTGGTGAGAGACGAGGCCACAGAGAAGGCCGTCGCTGGTGGTATAGGTCAATCGGTTTCCCAGACAATGGCCATATATTATTAGAGCATGTTTTGTTTGCATGCACACCACAAGTACTGGGTGTGGTTAATGCAGATTTGATTTCTCGCAAAAGGTTTCTATTTGGTGTTTAAAGATCTGAACATGACTCTTGTTTTGTTGGCAGAAAGGGTCAACACATTCTCATTTTTCATAGCAGTCACTTAATTTGGCTTAAGTAGCCAGAGCACAGTTTCGAGATCTCTGAAACAATGGTGGTGTTGTTAATGATGATGGCGGTGGAATTGATATTGGTAGTGGTGGTGTTCTTTCTTTGCGCAAGTTGGTGCTGTTGTTGATAGTGGTTGTGGGGAGCGGTAGTGTATTGGTTAGCATGCTGCGCTACGAACTGATGATTATCTGAACCGGTCCTGGGCCTCCGCCCTAGATCGACTCAGCCTCAAATGAGTACCTGGTGCGGTGTGTAAAAACATCGCCAATGGGGAGAAAAAGGCGGTCGAATGTGGCGTTGGCCACCCACCCCCTCGTGTGCCGTGCAGGCCTTCATTAGGTGCTCGCTAACAGCACTTGCCCCAGCGGTCTGCTTGGGCTGTACGGGGGGAATCGTTGTCTTTGGTGTTGCTGTGGTCGCTCACCATGGGGCTGCCTCTGCTGGGGTAGTAACACAACGAGCTGTTCCTCAGCACGAACCAGTAGCGTCGCCAGTGGAAGCGCTGAGGTCAGAGGGGGAGGGACGGGGGGGACAGATCCACACGTACGGGTAAGCGATCCGATAACTGTAACAATCACCAGCAGCAACACCATACATAATCTTATTGTGAATACGAACCTGTGCAGCCTCTTTCTTGCAAAATCCAGTCATGGAGAAGTGCCCCACACCACCCCATAACATGGGTCATGCGGGTTATTTGACCATACTTCACCACGCTGGTTCATGCGAGTTGGTGAAAGCGGGGAACCTGGATGTAGGGGACATGGAAGCAGGCCCGCAGCAGCCAATAGCAACCGGTTTGTGTGCGGCGGTCACGCGCCCATCTAACGATCTATCCAGGCTCAATCCAGTTTTATTTTCGGGGATCTTACGGGGTCTGGTGAGAATCTGGAGCATGTCGGACGTATTTGGTCATTTGTGATCAGAAAGGACCCCGGAACTGACCGTCATTCAAAATGTTGCCACTTGCAACACTGACACCTGACATCCACTGGATGATGATGGTGATGATGCCATGTGGTTATAAATGTCCACTCAAAAATAAAACACACAGTGCCGCCCTATAGACTGTTGGGGCAAGTTCTGTTCGTGAGCGCGCGCTTGTTAAGGCCGGCGCGGCGCGCTGGGTATAGATAGCGTGGTCCAACACCACACAAGGCCGCCTTTGTCTCACCAGTGCGGACAATCACGGCCCTCGCAAGAGATGCTCGTCAAGGGCCGGCTGAATCGACCCAGAGGCCGACCAGGCGACAGACTTGGTTCGGTCATCACTTGCCACGGACGTTGGCCGTGTCCGGGAATCGAACCCGGGTTGCATTCTTCGCATACCTCTGCGCACAGTAGGAGGGTAGCGCATACCTGGGGCCATGCAGGTACTTTGGCCGTTCCTGTGTCGCCACGACTAACTTCCTCATTTGAGGGACTTGCTGGAAACAAATTGTATGGCCCACATTATAAATGTGTGAATATAACCCACGCTTGGTGTGTGTGTATATACGTGAGAGTGGTAGTGGAGCGGTTAGCGTGCTGCGCTTACAAACCCAGCGAACCGAGTTCGATTCCCACCACAGACAAAACCACGTGACGATTATTTGAACCGGTCCTGCGCCTACCTTTGGTCGACAGCCTCAAATGAGCAACCTGGTGCGGTGTGTAAAATCATCACCACTGGGGAGACAAAGGCAGCCGGGCGTGGTGCTGGCCACCCAATCCATCGTGTGGTGTGTCGGCCTTCATAGGTGCTACTCGCTAACAGCACTTGCCCCAACGGTCTGTAAAGCCTATATGGGGAGGAGGGTGTCTGTCTTTGTATACAGAGCATGCAAAGTGCTTTGGAACACCTTGCCCTCAAGTTATTTTTGGGGGTTTTCAATTATACAAAATCATCACTTCACAAATGGCCAAACCTTGAACCTTTTAATAGACGGATTTATTTAAAAAATTTAATCATCCACTTAATCTGCATAGTCTCAACAGAAGGCCTAATTTTGGTCAATTAAATGCTGCGGGTTGACCAGTGTGTGTTTCCCAATGTCCCATCATTGGGATCGTCCACTCAGTGGAAAATTGCTGCTTAAGTCAACTCGTACTACAAATGCGAAGATGATAAATAAGTAAAAAATAGCCGTGTTCTTTTACTGTAAACAACAGCAAAGCATGTGTAGTGGCATAGCGCTGGCTGCTGGCAGAAACGGGGATCTGCGGCATACCGAAGCCCTGACGTCAGCAGGCCAGGATAGACACGAGAGGGAGATCTATGGGAAAAGGACACGCAAGGGGCCCACCAGGAACCTGCCGGTAGGTTCCAGAAAGGGGGCGTGGCCGGGGGCGGGGCGACGATATAAGTGGGGGACCTCGGGGCACGACGGAGTGGGATTCCCGTCGTGCTGTTGAAGTCCTTTCTTCTCGTCGTCGTCCCTACCATCTCGGGGGGAGCCACCAATCAGGCGGCCTACCAACTGTCCTGAGTAACGTTGCCGGCAATAGACGGCCTAATTATTAAGAGTGTTAGCCCCGATGGTGCTCGTTAATAAAGAAGTGCCTCCAAGTCTTATGGTCTCCGTGTTAGTCACGACATATGTATTTGAAGTTTGTTTTGCTGGAACGGCATTCTTCAGAAAATATTCTCCAGTCTATTATGAACCAGCAGCCAGCCCGCCACTCCGCTTTTCTCAGTCTTGTCTTTGTCCCTCTGTGTCTCTTTGTCTCCGTGATTCTGTGTCCATGTTTGTGCACGTGTCTGTTTGTCCATCTCTATATTTCTCTCCCACCTCAGCAGGTGTTGTGACACCCCTCAGTCACACAAAGATCCCCCATATAGCCTTAACAGACTGTAGGGGCAAGTGCTGTCAGCGAGCACCTATGAAGGCCGGAACGGTACACGAGGGGGTGGGTGGCCAGCACCACGCCCGACCGCCTTTGTCTCCCTAGTGGCGATGTTTACATACCGCACCAGGTACTCATTTGAGGCTGAATCGACCTAGGGGAGGCCCGGGACCGGTTCAGATAATCGTCACTGGTGTTGGCCGTGAGCGGGAATCGAACCCGTGTCGTTGGGTTCATAGCGCAGCGCGCTAACCACTACACTATCGCTCCCCACAGTCACACACACACAGAGTCACACACACACACAGTCACACAGTTCCAGCTCGAGCCATCCTGGCATCCGACCCACCGAATCCGGCCTTGCCGGTTTGATACCCGCTCAGGGCCACCATGGACCCAGGCACGCACACGGAACAGCCACGGGCAGGAAGAGGACTCGAAAAGTATAATTATCACTGGCATAACAAACATGCGGTGCGTGTGGTGTGCACGCCGTGATTACGTTGCCCCCTTTCAAATCGGGGGGGGGGGGGGGTGCGGTAAATCACAGGGCGCAAACGGGGGCGGCAGCGTCACGTCAGACAAGCACATTGTGCGAACGCCTGTGGTGCTGCAATTATTTAAGAAGAAAAAAAATGCCGAACAAATGTATTAATAACACTGCGGCATGAAAAGGAAAAAAAAACATTATAGGGGACGTTTCAGGAAACGACCCTTCTGCATAGCACGTGACAACGGGCCAGTGAAGCGCCATGCGCCGTGATGAAGGGGCATTGCCCAAAACGTTGCCTCGGGGCAGTCTTGTTGTTGACGAAAGCGTCGAGGTTGGGGTTTTTTTTTGGTTAGTTGTGCTCGCGTACACCACTGCCAACGCAGGAGCAGCAGCAGCATCGCCGCCGCCAAATATAATCTGCGAATGCAATCAATCACGCTCGGTGTTGTGTCACGCTTTGTTTTCGTCAAGTAGTCAAATAGTTTTATTTTATGCGCACGCTGAACTTCTTTCACGCCGTACGTAGCCAACCGTGCTAATCGGAGGTGCGGGAAACACCGTCAACGGGAGGTACAATTTACTCAAGAAAATGTACCGATGAAAAAAAACAAACTCAAAATAATATTTCTCAGGCGTGTGCTGCCATGTAATGTTTGGCCATTTTCACGTGTTTTTTTTTCTGAGATAAAAGTTGTGTGTTATGGTAGGAGCACGAATGCCTGGAGAAACCACCACGCACTCAAACTCCTCACCAAAGAAGGGGCCCTTCCACTCGTGGGAGCTCTAGAGAGCACGGCTAGAGGGTATGTAAACTAAACATATTTTTTTATTTATTTTACCAGCTAAGGCCCACCGAGCTACATAGCTCTTTTGCATTAGCGACCTGGCCACACGTGATAACTCAACTTAGTGGCTTAACACGTGGGAATAGACAGCAACCAAATACTCTCAACGCATGTCGATTCTAAATGTGGAGGGGAGAAACCGGTGGACCCGGGAGAAAAATCCACGCGACTACGGGGAGAACATGCAAACAACCAAATAAACAGAAGCCAGGGTCAGGATCGAACCCACGGAACCCCTGAATACCAGGCGAGGTAGTTAACATCTCGCCACCGTGGCAGGCACCCCATGTAGCAGGAGCCTCCTGAAAAAAAATATTGTAGACTCAAAAGGAGGCGTTAATGGCTAAACAAAATATTTTTCATTGCCAATTCTTAATCACCTCCACCATTCTCTTTCGGTGAATCGTGAAGCGTGTGGCACAAAGACAAAGGTCACCCGTATAGCCTTGACATGATTTTAGAGCAAGTGCCACTCGAGAGCACTTCTGAAGGCCGGCATGGCACACGAGGGTTTTGTGGGTGGACAGCACCACGCCCGACCCTGTGGCGATGTTTACTACACACCACACCAGGTACTCGTTTGAGGCCACGTATTATGAGCGTACGCACACAAGCGCATGGCACGGGCAGCTGGGCAAGCAGGGTACCTACCCGAGACACGAGGTAATTTAAACGGCTTTGCTGTAAGAAAAAGGATGGACAAAAGGATAAAACGACAACAAACCACAAAGATTGCCAGGTGTTCAGATACACCCCTGTGAATATACGTGGGGCACGCGGGCACGCGGTCACGCAGTCACGCAGTTCCCCTCCCTAGCTCTGACACCAACCCGATCTCTTATCCAAATGTCAATCTCCCCATCCAAACCCTGCCCCTTATCTAATCTATAGGCCATTGTCAATCCACGGCTGGATGAAGGCCTACCCGTGCGAGTCGTGAGGGTTGTTTGACCACACTTTAGCAAGCTGGTCAGTGCTGGTTGGAGGGGAGCCAAGAACCGGTTCAGCTATAACTTGCCACCGATGAGCCATTGCCTGGAATTGAACTCAGGTCGGAGTGATAGCGAAGTGCAGGGACCACTGCGCTCCCACTCCACTCCTCTCCCTCACCAAGGCTAACCCTGACCTTCATTGCAATCCTTACTCCTCTAATAAATAACTGTCCCAAACCTAACACAAATATTATCCCCCCCCCCAATCAATTCCAAGTCCTCACCTCAAACTCTGACACCAACCCTCATCCAAACCACATCATCCATTAACCCCTTGCTAAAACATTGATATTAAACTTTAAACACGTAATGTGAACCTCAATTCTAAAACACTAAAAACCCTAAACCTACCCAACCACAATCTAAACCCAAACACCAACCCAAACTCTCCTTAACCCCAACCCAGTGGCATAGTTAGAGTGTGTAGGTGCTGATATTGCACCGGGGGCCAGGGGCCAGTCTACAGCGAGGGCCCCAATCTAATTCCTTGGCACAACACCAAAGCAACCCCTTCCTAACTCCAAAACATAAACCTTAGCCTAACCCAAACCTTCCGTCACCCAACCCAAACAACCTCACCCAAACTATAACCACAGGACAAAACCTTGCCTGCGACTCTAGCCTTCGGCCAAAAATCGGGTTCGATTCCCGCTCACGGCCAACACCAGCGACGAGTGTCTGAACCGGTCCTGGGCCTTCCCTAGGTCGACTCAGCCTCAAAATGAGTACCCAGTACGGTGTGTAAAACATCGCCACTGGGGAGACAAAGTCGGCCGGGCGTGGTGCTGGCCACCCACCCCCTCGTGTGCCGTGCCGACCTTCACAGGTGCTGCTCGCTAACAGCACTTGTCCCTACACTCTGTTAAAGCTATACGGGGGGGGTCTGTCTTTTTGTTGTATAACAGACACACAAGCATGCGACAGGCGAGGCGTGGAGCGCACGCGGTGGGGGGGGGGGGCGCATGACCGCACACGCTGCCTGCGACTCGGGGCACGAATTGCGACACGCGCCGTCGCATCACACAAGGGTACAGCAAGACGAAGATGCCCCCCCAACCCCCGTGGGGCGTGGGGGCGGGGGGCAATTGCTCATCGTCAACAGATATTGAAAAAGGCGCGCGCCACGTAGTGGTGCCACTTGCGCCTCGCAGCGCCGACGTTAACGCACCGTACCAAGTACCCATGAGGCAGAGTCGACCGAAGAGGGTCCCCCCCCCAATCCCCCCCCCAATCCCCCCCCCAATCCCCCCCCCAATCCCCCCCCCAATCCCCCCCCCAATCCCCCCCCCAATCCCCCCCCCAATCCCCCCCCCAATCCCCCCCCCAATCCCCCCCCCAATCCCCCCCCAATCCCCCCCCCAATCCCCCCCCCAATCCCCCCCCCAATCCCCCCCCCAATCCCCCCCCCAATCCCCCCCCCAATCCCCCCCCCAATCCCCCCCCCAATCCCCCCCCCAATCCCCCCCCCAATCCCCCCCCCCCCCCCCAATCCCCCCCCAATCCCCCCCCCAATCCCCCCCCCAATCCCCCCCCCAATCCCCCCCCCAATCCCCCCCCCAATCCCCCCCCCAATCCCCCCCCAATCCCCCCCCCAATCCCCCCCCCAATCCCCCCCCCAATCCCCCCCCCAATCCCCCCCCAATCCCCCCCCCAATCCCCCCCCAATCCCCCCCCCAATCCCCCCCCCAATCCCCCCCCCAATCCCCCCCCCAATCCCCCCCCCAATCCCCCCCCAATCCCCCCCCCGCCCCGAGACCGGTTCGCACATCACTCGCCGCTGTTGGCCGGCATCGGGGCGCGGTGTGCTAACCGCTGCGCCACCGCTCCCTTAAAAACCCACAATAAGCCGCTCAGCCCACCGCACGAACCCCACTACACACCCCGCCGTATCACAAAAGAGAGACTCCCCCCCCCCGTGTAGCCTTAACAGACTGTCGGGGCAAGTGTTGTAAGTGGGCACCTATGAAGGCCGGAACGGTACACGAGGGGGGGGGGGTGGCCAGCGCCACGCCCAGCCGCCTTTGTCTCCCCAGTGGCGATGTTTACTACACACCGAACCGCGTACTCATTTAAGGCTGGGACGACCGAAGCGAGGCCCAGGACCGGTTTAGATAATCGTCACTAGTGTTGATTTTAAGTGGGAATTGAACTCGGGTCGCCGGGTGTGTAGCGCCGTGCGCTAACCACTACACTACCGCTCCCCACACACACCAAAAATACACGCACGAGCTATACACCCAAAAACACACACACCGCACACCCCACACACACCGCACCCCCCACCGCACACACAAACCACACGCGCCAGCCACGCGATCTCTCGAGCGACGGATGAATGGGGGACGCACGAGGCGGCGACGTTGATCGCGACGCGTGGGGGTTGTGCGCGAGGTCTCCTCGCTTCACAAAGCACAGAGAGGACCCCCCCCCCCCCACGCAGCCACAGCGACAGCTTCTCAGAGCATCGCAGTCACAGCGACAGCGTTACGCAGTGAACCCTGCACGAGCACTCGGCCATATAGAGCGCGTCGCTGTAGGAACAATAGCCGCCCCCCCCCCCCAACAGTAAAGCCATGCCGCTGGCATCACACAGCAATGCACAACCGTCCCGATAGAATTGTAGAGGACCGCACAACCATCCCAATAACATCACGCGGTCTTCCTAATGGCCCTTCTACAGCCTTGACGATTTAGGAACACAGCACCAACAAGCATGTACGGCATTGCACAACCACGACCGCCTCGCCACGCAGCTGTAACAAAAGCCTTATTCGGCCACAGTCATCCTTCCAGCACCACACAGCCAAACCACTCGTGTCTTCAAGTAGAACCGCCTCCATGCCCCAACGCCTCTTCTAGTATTTCACACCTGCCCGCTCCAACAGCATCGCACCGCAGGCGCCGTCCACGCTGCGTTTGCGTGATGGTTCCCTTGAAGGTCCTTTGCCCTCCATCCACCGTTTCACTCATTTCAACCTCACACCCACTCACCCATGCACCTCCTCAGCCATCCACCGACTCGGCCATACACGCGTCTACCCACCCACCAATTCACTTACTCACCGACGCACCCGACTATCAACGCACACATTTCACTCACCTGCTCACCCATCACCCCCATTCATCCACTCGTCCACCTACTCGCTTACTAAAACACATCCACCCCGCTGACCCACCTACCACTCCATCCATCCATCTACTCACCAGTTTCTCCCTCTGTTTCTCCAGGAAGCCCTCTAAATGGAGATCCGGCAGGGAGAGGATGTCAGTCATGGTGCACGTGTGGTCTTGTCCTTGCTTTGCTCGAGTCGCGGACGCCGAGGTTATCCGAGAGCGAGGGAGCGAGCGACACGACCCGATATCGAATACCCCCCCTCCCTATACAGTACGAGAGAGTGTCTTCTTATTCTCTATATATATCGGCGCGTGGGGCATACAGTGGCTCTGGTTTCACTCGCAGGCGTCGCACCTCGCCTCTTGCTCTTCAGTTCCACCTCTCGCGTCTCCTCTTCCGCCTTCTGCTTCTTCCTCGCCCCTTCCTCTCAAGACGAAACGACGCCGAACTGAAACCCGAACGTCGTCGGGAGTTGCTCACCACCACCACCACCAAAGCAGTCCGATGATCAGGGCGAGACCGCTGTTGTCAGTCGAACCCTCGTCTTCCGCAACAATAACGCGCGGCGCGTGCGCGCGAACGTCGATATTATTACTAACCACGTCCGTCCGTCCGTCCACACTCCCCCCACCCCACCGGTTCGAATTGACGACCTCGGTGTCGCCTCAACTGTGAGCGCTGTGGGCAGGGGCAAGCGCTTTTGTGTCATCGCTCCTCCCAACTCCCCCTTTCAATCCCCCCCCCCAATCCTCCAGCTCCCCCATCACCAATTCGCCCCCAATCGCTTCTCTCTCTGCACAACCGCCCTCTCTTCCCCTCCCCTACGCCTCACCCCTCCAGTACCCCTCCCCACCCACCCCGATTCATCCACAGACAGACGCCGTAATGAGCAAATTGCTGCTCGGCTCGGAGATCCAGTCGCGCCGGTTTTTCTTGCATGAAGTCATCTCGGTGACGACTCTCGCCCTCTTCGCTCTGGGCGGTCGCACAACTACATCCCTCGAGTTATCGCTTGATGTTGTGAATATGATCACGCGTCCAATCTCTCGTAAAACAAAGCGGAGGCGATCCTCGGGGAGGCGGGGTAGAGGAGGAGGATGCTGTCACGAGGTAATGTCACGCTGTCAGTATGAATTGTGATTCAATCAGAAATAAACGAATTACCTTGGTGCGCATATATTCGTTTTTGTTTCATGATGATCTGCATTTAGTTTCGGAATATGCTCGACAGTAAGCGTCGCGATTTCAGGAAGGGTTTCTTAAAAAAAAAAACCTGTATCTCTCTATCTTTTGGACGCTCCCAAAGTGGTGGCCATGGATCGCCGTCCGGGTTAGACTCCAAATCCACCCACCGACCTCCACCCCATGTCCTCCACCCAGAAGTCGAAATGGGTTTACCGGAGTTCATCAAACGGCAGGTCGCCTGCGATGGCGTAACACGTGGTTGACTCTCACCGCTACGCCCGGCCAGCGTGTACGAGTCGGCTACAATACCATCTTGAGAAGGCCTCTACATCTCGCTCGAAATTGAGAAGAGGCGACCACGTGAGCAGTGGCACGAGCAAGCGCTCACAGGGCTGCACCTTTACCTGTTTAAATTAAAACATTTATACCGAAAATATAGACCACCGTGCGTTTCTCGTCTGCCAATTAAACGTGATTTGCGGTCTCGAAGTCCCAATAGCCCCAATGTGGCTGCGCGCCACGCGGGGTGTGGTGGGGGGGGGTGGTGTGGTGGGGGGGGGGGGGTGTGGTGGGGGGTGGTGTGGTGGGGGGTGGTGTGGTGGGGGGGGGGGGGGTGCTTTGCTCGGTTCGCAAACGCGACAGAGAAGAAGGGCGCGAGTGTGGGTGGCGGCGTCTATTTTATTTCGCACGTGCGCGCAACACGCACGATCAGTGAACGTTGTTCGCGCGCGAAATGTATCGGGATTTTTTTTTTGTTTAAGAAAAAAAATCCCGCCCATTATCAAATCTTGTTCGCCGAGTGTTGCTTTCTTCACAAAAGCCCCGGGGGGGAGGGGGGGGCGACGGGGTAGTGGTTAGTGCACTGCGTTACCAAAATCCCCAGCTACGTTTGAGCGTAATTCACGACCACGGCTACCATCAGTGGCACGTGATTTGTGAACCGGTCCTGCGTGCCCCCTCTCACCCCTACCCCCTTCCTCCTCCACCAACCAGCACTGCCCAGCATATAGAGACAGAGATACAACATGCTTACATACATTCAATTTCAACTGCATCGTCTGAAGATCGAATCAAACCGGCGACCTCTGGAGTGCAAGTCCAGTTGCGCTATTACCACCACCTCGGTAGAATATACTGCTATACGTGTATGCTTTTAGACTTGAGAAGGGGGGTTGCATTCGCGTGAGCTCTGATGACCACTGGTGGAGCCATAAGTTGCGTTATGTAATGTTGCGTTACCAACTCACGCACATGCCACGCATTCCTCAACACTCAAGTTCGTCTGTGTGTGCGTGTGCGCGCGTGTCTCCGCACTGTGCTGCATTTTCGCCCACCGTCAAAGGTTGAACGGCGTGCGATTAAGGCACCACGGAAGACGCCAACGTCCAGAATAAAAAGAAAAACCTCATTCGAGACCCAACCATCGCACACCACCGGGCTTTGCCATTCCTCGAAGACGCCGGGAGAACCGTCTAACGCATCAGAGCATCATCGAACGGGCCGATGCGCGCCTCTTCATGAATGGAAAATGAAAGAGAGGCCGGAGTAGCGCAATTGTGGCCATGCCACCAAAGATATGGACCACAGAGTAATCCCACAGAGACGTATAGAGAGAGAGCTACAAAGCGATACATTAGTTGGACATGAGCATTTAGCTCATGCACATATTGCCATACCTCCGGAATGCACCCGATCTTGTCAGATGTCAAAAGCTATTAAACGATTTTGTATTTTACCACAAATCATGGCTCAACTAAGTGGTTTATCACGTGGAAATGTATAGTTGCCAAATACACTAAACGCGTGTTTCTAAATGTGGAGGGAAAACCTGTGACCACGGGGAGAGAGTTTAACACGTAGGCTTTCGCGACCAATATTATTCATAATAAAGATTTTTGGGTTAGATCGCGTTATTTATAAATGTCATAACCCTCCACCACCCGACACGGCCAATCAGCAAAAAAGTGTCACGTTGACAAAAGACAAATAATTCGCTACTTTAGCCCACCGGTGTGTTGAAGAGTGAATCCACAACATTTACATTTTGAATACGACGTTTCGCTGGCAATTACATCCAGCATCATCGCGCAATTTAATGTATTCGCCCGATGATGCTGGATGTAATTGCCAGCGAAACGTCGTATTCAAACTGTAAATGTTGTTCACTCTTCAACACACCGGTGGGCTAAAGAAGTGAATTATTTGTCTTTTGTCAACGTGACACTTTTTTGCTGATTGGCCGTGTCGGGTGGTGGAGGGTTACGACCCATTTATAAATAACGCGATCTAACCCAAAAAACTTTATTACGGGGAGAGAGCATGCAAATTCTAAAATACACAGCAGGCGTTTAAGGGTCGGAGAATCGAACCAATGACCTCCTATATACCAGGCGAGGTAGTTAACATCTCGCCACCGAACTACCAGGCGAGGCAGTTAGCTAAGGAAGTTAGCTAAGCAAGGGGTGAGCCCTGTATAGTGTTAGCATTGATGGGTGATCATTTTAGTTATTGTAGGTTGCTGCTGGAACTACGTTGGTAGCAGAGGGCAGTGTAACAACATATATTGTTGTACTGCAACAATCTATGTTGTTGCCCCCTCTACTTGCCTTCATCATCCGGCACCGACAACTCGACCTGCGTGGAAAAGTACGATCCAATAACTCTCACAATCCGCACGACGCGAGGAGGTCCTCATCCAGCAGTGGATTGACAAAGGGCTGTACCAAAGACAAAGACCCCCCCCCCCCGTATAACCATAACAGATTGTTGGGGCAAGTGCTGTTAGCGAGCACCTATGAAGGCCGAAACGGTACACAAGGGGGGGCCGGTGGCCGGCACCACTCCCTGCCGCCTTTGTCTCCCTAGTGGCGATGTCTACACACCGTACCAGGTACTCATTTGAGGCTGAGTCGACCTAGGGCACATTATTACACACATGCTTGTTGCAAAACACTGATACACTGTTTGGCCGCTGGGCTTATGGACTTGAATTTCGAGCAGGGATATGCGATTAGTTAATCAATTGATTGTCCCTACCGATTTTCCGTTCGATATCCCGAATAATCGGACCGCACGAAATAATTGGAACACACGTCTTACCCCCGTTCCTACGGGTACTGCGGGACGGGAGGTGATCGGCTGGGCTCAATGGCGGAGCCAGGATTTTCAGGTAGAGGGGGAAACCCCTCCAGCAATGAAAAATGATAAAGGAGTTGTTAGTGAGTAAGGAGTTGTTAGTAAGTAAGAGGTTGTTAGTAAGTAAGGAGTTGTTAGTAAGTAAGGAGTTGTTAGTAAGTAATGAGTTGTTAGTAAGTAAGGAGTTGTTAGTGAGTAAGGAGTTGTTAGTAAGTAAGGAGTTGTTAGTAAGTAAGGAGTTGTTAGTAAGTAATGAGTTGTTAGTAAGTAAGGAGTTGTTAGCAAGTAAGGAGTTGTTAGTAATGAGTTGTTAGTAAGTAAGTAGTTGTTAGTAAGGAGTTGTTAGTAAGGAGTTGTTAGTAAGGAGTTGTTAGTAAGTAAGGAGTTGTTAGTAAGGAAGGAGTTGTTAGTAAGGAGTTGTTAGTAAGGAGTTGTTAGTAAGGAGTTGTTAGTACGTAGTTGTTAGTAAGGAGTTGTTAGTAAGTAAGGAGTTGTTAGTAAGTAAGGAGTTGTTAGTAAGTAAGGAGTTGTTAGTAAGTAAGGAGTTGTTAGTAATGAGTTGTTAGTGAGTAAGGAGTTGTTAGTAATGAGTTGTTAGTAATGAGTTGTTAGTAATTAAGGAGTTGTTAGTAAGTAAGGAGTTGTTAGTAAGTAAGAGGTTGTTAGTAAGTAAGGAGTTGTTAGTAAGTAAGAGGTTGTTAGTAAGTAAGGACTTGTCCCTTGCTTTTAATTCGACGCGTGTGCGGGCGATCGCGCAGCCATCGATCGAGGGTCGAATTCGAACCGCGTTGTGTGATCGGCATCGCGCTCACTGAAGGTGTTGATGCCTTCAGGGAAGTCGTGTACTCTATACGCAATTGCGCACAATTCTGAGTCACTTATAACTGCTTTGCCGTTACTTATTGCCAATTATGGACTCAGACTATTATCCTATCATCTCATAGAGTCCCTGGAACATCATAATATGCTACACAGTGGCAGTGGGGGTCGCAAAATGCCGATGTATTACTAATAAACCCCAATGATCCGATCGAAAGTAGGGATTTCAATCGGATCATGAGGGGGGGGGGGGCACGTGCTACCCCACTCCCCCACTGGCTCCGCCAGTGGCTGGGCTTTGTGACGTCATTGACACGATCATCAGCCGCGTGACACGGTTGCGTGGCATGATGTGGAGGGTGGTGTCGTTATTTTTAAATGGGTTCGAGCGATCGATTTATAATGTTTCATGCCAATTAATGAACTTAATCGACCAATCGTCCCAGGCCAACTCTCAGAATAACTCAATATTAGTATGTTCTATGAAGAAGGGCCATTGCCAGAAACGGTGCTCATGAAATATATTTTAATGCCACAATATTCTTCACGAATGTGTTGATCTTTGTTATTTGTCCACCACTGCCAATGCAGCAGCGCAATAATCTGTTGAACATAATTGTATTGGTCTTAAAGCAGAGCCTAATTGATGCATCTACACTGAGGTCTGCCCGTCTTTCAGCAGCCACTGGAGTCACTGGCCGAAGATGACGACGCGCGTGGTGTCTGGGAACTGCGGGTGAAGCTAATTGGAGGGGGTCACATGTGGGTGCCACGTGCCAAACGACAACGAGCGGCGGTTTGCGCGTGGGCTGGCGTCGAGTCGCGCACCGCTGCTGTGTGCAACGAGGGCTATTCATGGATAATCTCACACCGAAACAAAACTAACACCGAAATCGAATTGGGCCCTCCGCGATGGCCTTTCGAGGAGAGCGCGCGTGTGTTTGTGGGAGCGGTGGAGTAGCGGGTTAGCGCGCTGCACTCCTAAACCGGGGCCACCCGAGTTCGATTCCCGGCTCACGACCAACGCCGGTGACGATTATCGGAACCAGTCCCTGGGCGTGCCCTTAAATCGACTTAGCTTCAAATGAGTGCATGGTGCGATGTGTAAACATCGCCACTCGGGAGACGAAGGCAGCCGGGCGTGGTGCTAACCGTGCACCCCCATCCTGCGCCGTGTCGGCCTTCATAGGTGCTGAATAAAGGCACTTGGCCCAACAGTCTGTCAGGAGGGTGGGGGTGGCGCGATCTTGGTCTTTGCGAAGATCTGTGAATCCAGCCTTTTGGAGGCGATATCAATCACACCGCATCAACCGCAGCCGTAAAAATAACCGCAACGTAACCACACCGCAACCACCAACAGCACCGCAACTAAACAACCCCATTTAAAAATCATGACAGCCAGCAAGCAAGCAGCAAGCAGGCAGACATCCCGACGCGGAGGGAGACGTTGCCAGCGCGCAGTGATTTGGCACTCATCGTTTAAGACGAGACGCATTCTACCGGGGGTAGGGTAACCGTACGCATTGTGCGACGAGAGAGAAGGGCTCCCAAAAGCCAGACTTAACAGAACTGCTTGTGAGATGCCTTCGAGTGACCTTTTAATACCCACGCACGCACGCACGCTCGAATCGAGTGACTCGTGTGACGCACTAACCACCCTCCTCTGGGGCGATGTTGCGAGTCGATTATCTTTCGTGACTCATTGTTGGAAACCTCCGACGTCTCGTTTGTGTCGTTTCTCGATTAATTTCTGGTCTCCTTTGTACATCTTTGTTCACGACCATTAGTCGAACATAATAATGTAACCTTTTGCATGCTCTTCTAACACGCGTGATAGCGTGGGAGTCTTAAGAATCGACGTTTAACAGTCATATACGATTTGAACGTATAACGCGCACAGAGCTGCGGTCGTACTTAGAGGCTGTGCGATTCCAAGTGTTATTGTACACATCGACTCGGACAGACTGATGACAGTCTCTCTATAAGTTAAATAAGCAAAATGTACCCGCACAGCGTCCTGACATGCGGTTCCACGTATATTCTAAATACAGCCACATGGTTCCGTACGGTATAGACGCACATTTAGGCTGTGTAAAATAAATACGCTGCTCACGAGACGCCATACAAGTCCACATTTCATGGCATTGACTCGCACAGAGACTCGAACTCACTCACAGAAACTCAGACTCGCATGGAGACAAATGACTGGCTTGGCCTAGAAAATGAATCACCCAAGGTTTTTCCTGTACAGCGTGTTGATGAGATCGCTATCAGACGCGATGTACCATAAATCAACATCGTATTGCGTTGAATAGCAAGACAACACCCATCGGGACATTTGAATACTGCATTTTTTAAATCCACATCGGCATTGCCTGTGCACTGCGTTCGTCGGGAAAAAAAAAAAAACTTGAATGTTTCGAGCGGCCAAGTGCAACGAGAAACGAATCCCTCAATGTTACTCCTCCCCGGTCCCCACGTGGACCAACACCGTGTCGCAGACGGATTAAAATAATCCGCATTGTAGTAATAATAATCCGTCTCCAACGGGGCGGGTGCACGGTGAGCGCGTCGAGTTCACGGCGGGGCGGCCGCTGTAACGACAGCGGGGCTCATCAATCACCGGGGTTGCTGAGTTCATTTATCCTGCCGAGTCTGGAGATACCCAGCTCCTTACACAATGACACACAGGCACAAAATTATTCGCGCAGGAAGCCGAGCAGACGGTGCGTAAACTTGACAGGACGCCCTGGGTCTGAGATGCGTATCTGCGGTGACACACCCGGATCGCGCCCTCTACGTATGTCCGTGGAGGTGTCATGGGAGGCGGTGGCGTTCTGCGCTACGAACCCGGCCACCCGAGTTCGATTCCCGCTCACGCCCAACACCAGTGACGATTCTCTGAACCGGTCCTGGGCCTCCACTAGGTGGCCTCCCCTAGGTGGACTCAACCTCAAAACATACCTGATGCGAGTGTGTAAAATCATCGCCACTGGGGGAGACAAAGGCGGTCGGGGGTGGTGCTGGCCACCCACCTTTTCGTGTACCGTACCGGCCTTCATAGATGCTCGCATACTGCACTTGCTCCAAAAGTCTGTACCGTGGGTCTTTTATCTTTTCTCTGTAATGCATCTCTGTGCCATGTAATTTATTAAATACGTCAGTGAGCATGGCCTTCCATTTAGCGCTATTACTCAAGAGCTTTGTATCAGATATTCCCAGTTGCATCCAATTGTTCAAATTGATTCTTGACTTAATTCGCTGCCGTCGCCCGCCATCTTCGAACAAACAATTTCAATAATTTAACCCATAACACATGGACCTGTCCCACAACCACCTGCCAGCAAGCCTTAGGCATTTCTCATGGCCTCAAAGTTTACCGAGCATAGCACACGTGCCGTGATGAAACTAGTGCCACTTCGTGGCGAATGATGGTCGTCGGAATTTTTTTAAGTGGTGGTGCAGTGGTCCGTGCACTGTGCTATGAACCCAAAGATGAAGAGTTCAATTCCTGGCCATGGCTAACATCAGAACCTGGCCTCCCCGAAGTCGGCTCAGCCTTAAATGAACCTCTGCTACATTGTGTAAACGTCAGTACTGGATAGACAGAGGCCGGTCGTGATTATGGCCAGTCCGTCAATAATGGTCATTCCAAGAGGCCCTTTGCAGTGAGATGTGAGCAAGCAGACTAACAACCAGAAAGGGGGAACATATATACAGTTGAAAATAATCGTACCCAATTAGTGCAGTGAAGATGTGTGCAATTATTTGGGTAAATATTTCGTATGCAGGCCCAGTCAGAAGTGGTAAATCTCATCTGGCCGCGGGGCCGTATGAAAGTCACGGGCAGCTTCCGGCCCACGGACTGTGGGTTCCCCCACCCCTCTTTCAACAGCGATCGCGTCTTCGCAGAATGGGCAAGAGCTCGCTTAATCACCGAGGGATTGCGAGATCAGGAGATGAACCAGCGACCTCTGTGACTCACTGCAGACGGTGTCAGTCACGCCACAACAAAGAGACCACTCACTCCACGACTCCCGGACTCGGTTATTGTTTTCTTCGGGTGTCAACTCACGCATATATCGCCCTTTACCACGTAAACAAATGGACGAGATTGCGTTGGCAATAGTTTTTGCGTATGTACATGCACATACACCTTTTGTCAATCCACTGCCAGACAGGGCACTCTCCAGCGCGTGTGGGTTATTTGACCATACTTCACCGCACTTGCCATGGGTTGGCGGTGAAGGGGGGGGGGGCACGGGCATCAATGTAGCAGCATCGAAATACAGTACAACCCCCGTGAGCCGCACAGCCTGGGGAGAACCTCATCCAGCAGTGGATACACAAAAGGGCTGCACATGTACCAGCCACACACACACAAACTCCACTCCTGTCGCGCACGTTGAACATCTCCTTTCAAGCCATGTGGGAATCAATGAAAACATTCGAGAGCAAGGGCCCAGAGACCCATGTTAGCTAAGGGGACCCATAACGGACGTTGAGATGGGGGGGGGGGTCACAGTATTTGATTTGCATCACCGCTTAATCATGGGATGGGGAGGGGGTGGGGGCGCAGTTCAGATGCCCCCTCCCCCCAGACTGGTCCGCATGTTCCTACGTCCATGCTTGTGTGATTGCGGGGGTTGTGAATAAAACAGACGGGAGTCACGAACAAAAGAAGAGACGTTTTTTGTATTTTTGCTCACTTCTTCGAGACATCGCAGGGCACGTCTCACCCGGGTGTGCGGTGGGCTGCTCGCGCTCGCACGACAGGGGGGCGTAATCAAGACAGCGCTCGCCAAATAAACGAGAAAAGGGAAAGACAAAATCAAGCCCAAGTCAATACCAGCGATCTGCATAAATAAACGGCCTACATTCACAAAGGTGCAATTTCAGAACTGCTCAAGGTGAGACGGATTCACAGCAACTTAACAGCGTCCGGTGGCTGTGACCAGGATAACGTTCGTTATGTACAGACAGAAGGCGTGAGAGAGCGATGTGAAATTGCAGCAAACATTCTCAAGGTTTCCACATTTGATTTAAAAGCAATCGAATGTCACCCCGCCAACCCCAGCATTCCATCTTCAATGGTGAGAATCCTAAGCATAGAAAAAGCCACACGTACGGGAAAATAAGAATTTCTCTTTAAAACCTAGCTCACATGTTAGCACCTCGCGCTCCCTTTCAGGAATATTTTGCTGTTTCTTTTCATGGATTTTCTGTTTGCACTGTCACATAGTCACTTTAAGATGTTTTTTCTTGTTCGTGTTTTAGTTTGTTGTGGTTGCACCCGATTCAAGAGCCGAATGGCTCACAGGGCTATACCAAAATAAATAAACTGAAACAATGGTTGCGCGCCGTACAGATTGCTGCGCTCCTCCAATATACCTATTTCCACTGGCCCATCCGAGCCGTGCCAGCGAGGGGGCCTTCACGGTACAAGTAGTTTCCATTGGGCGATTTGCCACGCCGAACCCAGGGGCCAAGCCATCAAGCTGACCTCACAACTCGTCTCAATCTGGCTCCCATCTGCATCTGGCTAGAGGGCTAAGCCTGGCCAGGGGCGGTGTCAATCATTCAATTCGCTGCGTATGACATCAGTTAGTAAATTACTAGAACACAGCATCGCCACGTCACATTTGCACACCGCTTGACTCATTCATCGCGTGTTAACGTCAGCGGCCCGGCTTGTGTGCTGCTGTAGAAAAACCTGGCGCGTCCTGGGGCCAGCTCGGACATGGCTCGGTTGTACAGTGGAAAAAAAAAGTGGTATAGGTAACTGAATGCCATAGGTCCTGGAAAATCTATACACGTACACTCAATATGTACAGACATCCCATTACGGCACCTGGGACTAATAGAACATTATACAAAAACTGGAGGGCAGCGTGTTTTTTTTTTTTTAAAAGAGACGTAAAATTCGCACGCCCATGCGCTCGGCATAAAAGAAACAATGGGAAAATGATTTGGTTACTGCCGGACAGCCGGACAGGTGTGTCAAGAGGACTGATGATAACATGCATATTAACCTTGCTAAAAAAAATTCTCAGCTTTACCCACCCGTTCCCCACCACCACAAATTAACAAGGGTCATCCATCGTGACCGGTTTGCATGGCGTGTTATTGCTAAAGTGTTTGCGAGATTAGCAAGCGGCCGGTTCTCGGGGGAGTGGGGGGTCGATATTCAGGCAATTTTAGCACTCAGGATTTAGTCTGCCTACATTTACGCGGGAAATTCAGTTAGCGGGGGAGGGGGGGGGAGTACCTTTACCGACTTAAATATGGCTGAGGATCGTCGGTGCGTTGTGCACCTTGTGTTGTATTCGGGCTGCACTCGGCTAAAGTGAATGCGCTTTTCTCGCATTCGAAAAAAAAAACCGCCGAGCCCTTCAGCGGAGTAGTGAACACCGGGGTATGTTTTTGTGCGCAATATAAAAAAAAGACTGCCGGCTGATCCTGACCTGGGCAGGGCTTGGCACAGCAATGGGAGTGTCTGCTGCATGCAGATACCCGTGTTTACACCAGAGCATCGGTTCACATCAGACCTGGAAAGAACTTAACTGCTTTGGATCAGAGTCCAACTGGATCCTGTTGACAAGAACTACACAAAGGTCTTGATTAAGTCCGACCTCTGAAGTCGCCCACTGGCGAAGCTCAGCAGAACTAATTTTATGTTTATTACTGCGTGCGTTACAAACTTGACAACAAGCCCGTGTTCGTTTCCATTTAAACTACCTCCCGTTGTGTACGCATGTAACGATGCATCTCTTTATCGACATCAATCGATTCTTAGGCTCGCGACACGTGTAGAATCGTGTGCATGAGAATCGTTTGTTTACTGCTGGTACAAGTTGTGCGGGATTGGGTCACGTGACCAGCAGTCACCAGAGCACGGTTGTCCAAACTACAGCCCACGGGCTAAAATTGGTCTGCTGGCTCATTTAACATGGCTTGCTGTGGCCTTAACGTGAAATTAATACTATAAACCTTTTGAGAAATAATTAAGTGAACCGTCTTGGTCAGCATGTTGGATTTGTGGCTATGGGGTGGTGGATGGTTGCGGGTCTGGTCAATCTCTCTCCTTTCTATTCTCACATCTTCTCTGAAGGCATCTCTTTTCCTATCTCAAATCTATTCGGAGTACATCTCTCCTATATATCTCCCTTATGGACCTCTGCTCAATGTCTCATATCTCTGTTTGACCTCTGCTGAATATACAACTATGTTCTACCACTTATGAAGGCATATCTCCCTTCTAATGAATACATATCCTTTCCCTATCTCTCCTGAACAAATACATCTCTCCCATCTTCCTCACATCTCCTGTGAATACTTCTCTCTCCTATCAGCCTGTCTCAATATATATCTGATCTCCATGTTTGTTTGTTTAGTTTATGTCTGTGGCCTACAGCCCTCAGCGATGTCAGTCAATCCAGCCCTAAATGCACCAAAGCTGGGACACCCTTGCACTAGAGGCTCGACATTCATAAGCGGCAAAATTCAATAATCGAGTCGTTAAACGAGCCACAACCCTGATTCGCGACCATTCATCAAATCGCGACGGAGTTGAATCATTGCATGAATGAGCCCCTTTTCCTTAAGTTTTCTTCACACCAAACAAACTTGTGCAAGCGCAACATTTGTTTTCGAGTCTTGGCTGTGGACTGCAACGTCATGTGTGTCTGCTGCGGTATGCGTGTTAGGCCAGCCGACTGGCCGGCCGATCGGGGCGGTCGGCCAGCTGCCCGGCCGCTTGGCCGGGGGAGGGTTTGTTGGAATTCGCTCGCCAGGAAAACAGACGAGGGCAGCCCCTCCCCTCCCCCTCACTCGCGTGAAGGCTGGGGGGGCATCACCGCACCCGCGTGAGTGCCTTGTAGATCGTGATGCCCAGCACGGTGATGATGGTGGCGCCCACGCTCACGCGCAGCCAGAACGAAGAGCTCTTGAGGTCAGAATCGTTCAGGTGTCTGTGGGTGGGGGTAGGAAGGGAGGGGGGGTTGGAAAAGGGGTGTTGGGAAGGGGGGGGGGGGTTGGACAGGGGGCCGGGAGTCAAAGGGTTAAAATGTTTCTGTAATCGAGCAGTTGTAAAAACTTAATAAGATGATGTTTCCGAGCGGAGAAGTGCGAGGGAAGAAGCAGAAAGAGAAGTGCTGTAACCTGCAGTGTGGTGAGTAAGTGAGTGGGTGAGTGGGCAAGTGAGTGACTGTGTTGTGACCTTAATTATGGTAGTTGGACACAGCATGGATGAGACAAAACTGTCAGTGTAAGTGAGTGGGTGAGTGGGCAAGTGAGTGACTGTGTTGTGACCTTAATTATGGTAGTTGGACACAGCATGGATGAGACAAAACTGTCTAGTTCACCCTACTCCACATGGGTGGAAGAATTAGGAATCTAGTCTGCCAGGGCAGGCTCGTGCTGGTTTTCAATGCAGCACCAACATGTTGAAGTCCTACAGCTCGATGCCTTTGACCTCGTGACCTCATCCCCTACCTATTAGACCTTTAGTCGAGAGGTTTGTTGCTGCTGGTCGCTTGGCGTTTTGGGCTTGCGCTCAACAACTGTGACTTGAAGAAGGTTTATTAATCAGGTGCGCCATGCTATTGGAGTGAACTATTGATTATTCACGCGTGGATTATATGTTTTTTTTTTATTTAACCTTCCTCGGAGAAGTAAAAAATACCTTCAAGTGCACCCGGTTTAATTATTAGTTGCTCCTTGAGTGACCCCGCTACCCATTCAACTATAAACACGTCGCCCAAGTAAACCAATCACTTTAAGAAACAACATAAAGAGAGGACATGCTCTACACCCACGCTACATAGGAAATCAATAAAAGCAAGATACACGTGCTTTCGTCTAATATAATGTTTTGCACGATCCAATGTTTTTTTTATCCAGGCCACTAATCCCCTCCCTCACCCCCTCCCCCATTACCCTGCATAATATAATCAAGAGCTGACTGTAAATGTAATTTCACACTTCATTAAATATTTTAGCACCGAGGGGCTCAATAGAACCCTCTGCAATCGCGCACAATGATTTTTAGAGGTAGGGACATCAGCTGGATGCAGTTGTCGTTCTCAAGAGGATTTCGCTAAATAATTTATCCATAAAATAAATAAGTGGGGGGAACACACAGGGACCGACCGACCTTACAAGACAGCGCTCCAGCGGGTAGCCATTGAGCACGAGTCAGCAGAATTACACAGGAACCAGGGGACCGCCTGTCCATCAAGGCATTGACTGAAAGCATTTTTACTCTCTACGGTGGGTTTGCCGGCATCGCCTTGTTACATTACGTGCCGTGGGATTCAGGGTATTGGAGATGAATGGCAGAAGGTTGGAAAGATATGTGACAAATTTAATTGAATGGCAACGGAATAAACAACCCCCGTCTGAGAGAGGCACACACACACACTGGGCATTTATGGAATGCAGCGCTGAAAACGTAGACATCCACTTGATAGTTTGGAAAAGTGATGGATGAAGATGTGACTAAAAATCATAACAAAACCCAGCATGTCAATCCACTGCTGGTGCAGGTCTCCATCACAGGGGCGTTATTTGATCACACACTTCGCCACATGAGTTGGTGTGGGTTAGTATGTATGTAGAACTTGTTTCGCACCGTACGTAGCCAACCATCCTAATCGGAGGTAAGGGAAATAGTGCTATGTCTTGAGACTTCCCAAGTCTCGAGACATATATCCAGGAGAGCCTTGCACATTTTCGAAGTACAGGGGGGGGGGGCAATGGTTGCCATGCGTTTCCCAATTAAGTATTTTGCGAGTGATTAAAAACATTTCAGGCGTTTGGACCGTGAAATGACACTTTCTTCAAATGACATCACGGGGTGTTTAACACCCACTGTGAATTGGGCAGCACGTACCAGGCCAAGTTCAGATATCGCTCGGCAGTGGCATTAGTGGTGGCCAGGAATGAAACTCAGGTGGCTGGGGTTATTAGGCACAGTGCCCTTACCACTACGCCACCACTCCACAACATGTGTCACCTTTGATAAAAATGAATAAAAGGTCATTCATCAACTTGGTTTTAAATGAAATTGCATATGCTGAAGCCGATTGTTTGTTTGTTGTGTAACTGGTAATGTAAGTTACATTCAAGAGGTTTCAAAAACGGGTAATTAGTCACGCTGACTTCATTCACGGGCTTAGGCTGAGTACCCGTATTCATACAGCACTCACGTAATATTGCATTTTATTAAACACTGAAATGAATGCAGGCCTCTGTGTATGTTGTAAATGCTGTTTGAAAAACTTCATATCTGCCGTGTGTTTTGGTGTGTGGCTATAAGAAAAAAAAACCTGTTTAAGCCAACCACAAACATCATGTGTATGTGTACAGCCCCTTTTTGCCAATCCACTGCTGGATGATGGCCTCATCACTCCGTTTAGGTTACAGGGGTTATTTAAGAGTACTTCACCACGATGGCCAAGGGCAGGCTGAAAGGGGGCAGCAGACATGACAACATAGAAATGGAGTACAGTGAAAACTTGGATTGCGAGTAACTTGGTCTGCGAGTGTTTTGCAAGACGAGCACATTGTTTAAATAAATAATAATTTGATAAACGAGCAATGTCTTGCAATACGAGCAGTACTGTACACGCTTTGTCTGCCGAGCGTCACGTGATCACAACTGAGCCAATGGTTCTTCTCTCTCTCTCGCTGCGGGATTGTGGGTAATCATCTCCCATGCTCGGTCTCAGTCGGCGTGCCTCACTCGTATAGTCAACATCCGTGCGAGCGTATACTGTTTACTACAGTACTATAGTGTTGTGACCACGTGTGTGTGCGTAAAGCATTTTTTTATTTTGTGTCCAGGTGTAGTGACTGTTCTTTAGTAACTGTACTGCAAGTCAAAGTCGTCCTACACAATAACCCTCCTCCTCCTCTCTCTCGTCTCCCTCACACCAGCCACGATTAAATGTAACTAATAAATTTGATTACTTTATATTAAATTTAAATAATAAAAATATAAAAAGGTATTTTGTATTAATCATATATACGAGTGCTTTGGATTCCGAGCACGTTTCCGGAACGAATTATGCTCGCAATCCAAGGTTTCACTGTACAACATTGTAGCTTGCTGCACTGCCCTATGCTGCCAACCGTGCAGCTCTGCAGCCTATAACAACCTAATTGTGCATCGTGGTCGCCAATCTAAGCACGTTCCAGCCTAAACCCTGCTTAACTTCCGAGCTCTCGCGAGATTGGCTGCATCGAGGTAGATTTAAATACAGACCGGCCTTAATTTCAACCCAAGTTGTCCGGGGCTGGGCTCCTGAAAATATTTCCACACCTGGGCATACCACATCCAATATATGTCTGTATATCGCTGTTGCAACCAGTCACGTGCCACCTCCCGGTCTACCAACACCCTGGAAAGTACAGTAAAACCTTGGATTGCGAGCATAATTCGTTCCGGAAACGTGTTTGTAATCCAAAGCACTCGTATATCAGTTGTGATCACGTGACGCTCGGCAGACAAAGCGTATACGTACTACTCGTATTGCAAGACCTAGCTCGTTTATCAAATTAATATTCATTTTAATTTTTTGCTCGTCTTGCAAAACACTCGCAGACCAATTTACTCGCAATCCAAGGTTTTACTGTACTCTGAGAACTCAAGATCCTGGTTGAGGCACTGGCCCGATGCCGCTAAGCGTTTGCAAAATGTATTTAATGAACCAATCCCCGACTTGACGGGCAAAGTCACCCTTTGCACTGACCTCAGCGACTGTTGTTGTTGTTGTTTTGCACATCAAGCACGGCGACACAAAAATACGACCCCTCAATGACTTAGTGATGTTACTGACGCAGCACCTGCTGAGTGCACAAGGAGGGGACAGAGGAAAGGTGAGGATCACCCCAAGCAGGCGGGGGGAAATAAAACAAAAACCCGAGACGCTGCAACTGCAGCAGCCGCGCGGGCGCAGCGACATTGGACGCACGGGTGCAGAGTCACGCGAAGATAAAAATACACGCGGCGGGGAGCCATCGCAAGCTTCGGTCGCCAACGAAGTGTAAAGTACGCGTCGTCTTGAGGCCCAGCCGTGAGACGGAATGTCAGTGATGGCCCACAAGTCGCCGAGCAGCGGCTGTGAAAGGCCGACCATACCCCGTCTCGTTTCAAATGGCACAGGCCAAGGCGAGCGCTCGTATGCCCACACGGTATCATAGACGACCCGCCTTGTCAACCCCGTCACTAAACACACAGCTGAATGTCAACTTACGAGTCCCGTTTGGTTTCATTTACTTCTGTTACATTCTTATACTTGACGGTAGTTTTTTTTGTCATTTGGGTGACCCAAGTCACTTTTGCAAAAACTGAGACTAACTTGGTCTCTTGATTTCTCACCTGGTTAAACAATTAAACTTGGCTTCAAAATTGACTCATTTATTTTAAAGCCAGATAGGTATGGGAGGCTGCTGAGTGTCTGTAGAGTGTGTAGGCTACGTGTAATGTAACTGCTGCACCAGGCCCCATGGGGCTGGAGGTACCCAGGCGCAGGCCTACGAAGGGGGGCGGTCGAGGGAGGGACAGAAAAATTGGGACTGGTCGGGGCCCCATTTTATTCCTTGCACCAGGGCGCATGCAAACCGTGCACGTTACAGGTTGAGGGTGGTGGAAGTAGGAGTAGAGATCAATGTGTAGCTAAGAGTGTGGTGCGAGCAACGTGACAAGACAGAAGAGTCTAGAAGGTTTGTTCAAGCTGCATAGCAACACACTCCCGCGGAGGCCTCACAGGCTCTATCAGGATGCAGCAACGTGTCCGGGGGATTTCCCCTCCCACAAGAACATCAACACACCTAAGTCGAAACTCACCATTTACCTTTCCAAGAAGAGGGTCCTCCCCCTCCTATTTATTCACTGTAACCGGGCCAGGCAAATACTGACAGGAGTGATTATTAAGCTAAGCTGAAATTTACACAATTGCAAGACATT